GAGGGGCGACAAAAAAACGAAAGCTAGATGGGTCATCCTCTTCATGGGGAACCTGGTGAAGAATACAACATGGACTTCACTTTTTCAAAAAATGGGGGGAACGGCGGGTTCTGGTATCTAGACCAGCGGGGAACAATGAGTTGCATTAGTTGGAACTGTCGGCGGCTTGGCAACCCTGCGACAGTTCAAGCTCTGGTGGATATGGTCCACTTGAAGAGGCTGTCGTTAGTGTTTTTGATGGAAACCTTTACTATTTTAAACAAGATAGAAGCTGTTAAACGGAAGTTGGGGTAGTCACACTGTTTAGCGGTGGACTGTGTGGGTCACCGAGGTGGTCTTGCTCTTTTGTGGGGCGATGGAGTGGAGGTCCAGCTGCTGGGTTCTACGAGCAACTTTATTGATGTTAAGATAAGCCTAGAGGAAGGAGCTCCAGAATGGCGATTCACGGGTTAATATGGGTTTCCGGAGCGGCACAGAAGAAAAGAATCCTGGGAGATTCTTAAATCCTCGAGTGTAGGAGTTGATCTTCCTTGGCTCATGATGGGGGATTTCAACGACATTATGGTTGCCTCGGAGAAACGTGGAAGGGCCCCACAGCCGCCTTGGCTTTTGCAGGGTTTCCGAGAGATTGTGTGGGAGTGTGGCCTTCAGAATTTTGCTTTTCATGGTTATCAATTTACTTGGGAAACGGTGGAGAGGATCACCAAATTGGGTTGAAGAAAAGCTGGATAGGATCCTGGTTACGGAGAGCTGGCTTGATATGTTTGGAGGGGCTTCATCTGAATCCTTGGAAGGCTCCCCAAGCGACCATCTGGCTCTTTTTTATAAAATTAATTCCCTCACCAGTTGTGGCTAGAAGACGTAAATTTAAATTTGAGAATGTTTGGTTGCGAGAAGCGGATTGTCGCGAGATCGTGGCTCGTAGTTGGGGGCTTGGCCGTGAGTTTGGTATGATGGAGCAGGTTCACGCTTGCAGAAAGGCTGTTAGTGAATGGGGTCATCCACATGTTCGGTTCGTATGGCAGGCAGATTAACTTTTGTAAAAAGCGACTGGATTTTTTGTGCAGGTACTCGGATCAATGGAGCATTGGGGAATTTCAGAGAGTTAAACAAGAGTATCTGGAACTGCTGGAAAAAGAAAATATTTTTTGGAGGCAGAGGGCTAAAGAATTCTGGCTACAAGGCGGAGATCTAAATACCAAGTATTTTCATAACTCGGTCAAAAACCGGCGGCGCACGAATAAAATTGAAGGTTTCCGGTTAGATGATGGTCGGTGGGAAAGTGATTGGGCAGTGATTGGTTCATTGGAGACAACTTTAACCACCTTTTTACGGCGGGATCGGGGGGAGGGGAATTTGTGCTCGAATTTTTCCACCGCATGTTAGAAGATCATCATAACCAGGATCTTCTTCGGCCTATCCGGGGGAGAAGGTTAAGGAGGCTCTTTTTGACATGTTTCCAGACAAATCTCTGGGACCAGACGGATTTAGTCCGAGATTTTATCAACACTATTGGGACGTGGTGGGTCCTGATGTTGTCACTTTTTGCAGAGAGGCTTTCAAATCAGGTAAGCTCCCCAATAAAATTAATCATACTAATCTCATTTTGATCCCCAAAAAAGATAAACCTGAAGTTATGGGAGACTGAAGGCCCATTGCCATTTGCAACATGATATATAAATTTTTTTCTAAGGTTTTGGCTAATAGACTGAACAGATGGTTACATCTTTGTATTTCTAAGCAGCAAAGTGCTTTTATTCCTGGAAGATTTATTGTTGATAATATCATGCTTGCTTTTGAATCCCAACATTTTTTAAAGAGGAAGAGGCAGGGTCAGGTGGGTTTTATTTCTCTGAAAGTGGATATGAGTAAGGCTTGTGACAGGGTAGAATGACCTTTTCTTGAGGGTATGACAGATGGATTCGTTTGATTATGGAATGTGTTACTTCTGTCTCTTATTCTATACCATTTGATAATTCTGAGATTGATCTTCTTCCTTCCGGGAGAGGGTTACGTCAAGGAGATCCTTTATCACCTTAGATGTTCTTAATTGTTACAGAGGGTCTCAATGCCTTACTCCGTCACTGTAACACCCCGGCCCCGTAGGCCCCGAGGTAGTTACTTCTGACCTCTAGTACTATCCTCACAAACCGCCACTAGTCTTTTCCGCGCACTTTGTCCTCACTCGTGCGCGCCCTGAGAAACTTCCCAGGGGGTCACCCATCCCAAGACTACTCCCGTGCAAGCACGCTTAACTTTGGAGTTCTTGGCTAATGAGCTCCCTTAAAAGGAGATGCACCTTATTGGTATGAGTAGTACTATTAATCCGTTTAAATTAAATCTCAAGTGTTACAGTCACCATGAATCTATTGGGCGACTTCATGGAATCGGGATTACTAGGGGAGCTCATACGGTTTCTCATCTTTTCTTTGCTGGTGATAGCCTGTTGTTTTTTAGAGCAACTCATGAGGAGGCAGTTTTGATAAAGGAGACCTTATCTGATTATGAAGAGGCTTCAGGTTAGGTAATTAATTTTCATAAATCTAAATTATTTTTCAGCTCTAATGTTGGAGAGGACTGTAAGACACGGCTAATAGAGCTACTGGGAGTTGGTATGACAGGATCTAGCGAGAATTATCTGGGTTTGCCTGCTTTAATTGGAAGGGGTAAGAAAGAGATTTTGGGTTATATCAGACAGAGAGTCATTAACCGTATCCATAGTTGGACTAATAAATTCCTCTCTAAGACATGCCGCGAGATTTTGTTGAAAGCTGTGGTTCAGGCTATGCCCACTTACGCTATGAATGTTTTTTTGCTGCCTATTGAGCATTGTAAGGAGATAGAAATTATTATGAATGGTTTCTGGTGAAAGGGGGAGTCGGGAGCGGGGATCCGTTGGAAGGATTAGACTTCTCTGAGTAAACCAAAAAATTGTGGTGGCCTGGGGTTTAGGACACTTCGAGAATTTAATTTAATCATGTTAGCTAAGCAAGCTTGATGCATTTTTAATTATCCTGAATCTCTTGTTGGTAAAGTTTATAAGGCACGTTACTTTCCTAAGGGTGATTTTTTGTATGCCAAAATTGGTAATAACCCTTCGTTTATCTGGAGGAGCATTTGTCAGACTCATGATTTAATTCGAGATGGTTTTAAGTGGCGAATGGGGAATGGTAAGTCAATTAATATCTGGGAGGATCCTTGGTTACCGGATCGGGATAATCCGAAGGTTACCACGACTTTGGTTACAGGGCTTGAACGAGCTACTGTAGCATCACTTCTGGATGATTCAGGTAAAGCTTGGGATGTCGATTTACTCATGGATGTCTTTGATAGTCAGGATGTCTCTCTCATTCGAAGTATCCCGGTTAGCATGCGTCAAGTACGTGATGCGAGGCAGTGGAGATGGGAAGCGGACGACCATTTTTCAGTCTGGAGTTGCTATAGAAAGCTAGTCGGGGAGCTTGATTCTTCTGCCTAGACGGGCTGGACTACAATGTGGTCTTGGAACGTTCCTTCTAAACTAAAAATCTTTTTTTGGCAGGTTTACAATGGGTGTCTACCTACGAGGGATCTTCTGTGAGCCAGGCGTGTTAACTGCCCTGGGAATTGCGGACTGTGCGGTGAGGAGGGTGAATCGTCAACCCATATTTTTCTGATGTGCCTATTGCTAAGGAAGCGTGGGATGTGATTTCCTAGAGCTGGACTGGGAACGGGGGACAAAATTTAATGGAGGAATTGCAGAGGGAATTCCAAGCTAGAAGAAGGGAGGAGCTCGGAAAGGTGATTTGGGGATGCTGGGCCCTTTGGTGTGAACGAAACAAAAGGATGTGGCAGAATTCTTTCTCTAGCGCAAGGCAGATTATGATGAGAGCTCAAACTTTTGTCCTAGGGTGGTCACAAGCTCAGATTGCACGCAGGGGAAGGAGGCCGAGCAATCACTAGACAGTTTCTTCCTGGAAAAGACCATCAAGTGGGAGGCTTAAATTGAATGTAGATGTTGTGGTTAGAACTGATAAATGCAGATTTGGATGGTGTCTCCGGGATGAAGACAACAGCTTTGTGGCAGGTGCGGCTAAACCGTGGCCGGGGCGACTTTCACCACTGGAGGCGGAATTAGTTGGCATTCGGGAGGCTCTAAGCTGGTTACATGAGACGACTTGGAGAACGGTTGATGTGGAATCAGATGCAGCCAGCGCCATTTCAGAGATTCTGAAGGGATCGAGTTGTTCCTCGTATGGATTGGTAGCTGAAGATATAAGAGATGTAGCGAAGAATTTTCCTAGCATTTCTTTCTCTCATATTAGGCGATCAACGAATAAGACAACTCATACTTTTGCTAGGGCTGCTTGTTCTATGTCTGATTTTGCGTTCTTGGTTTTTTGAGTACCCGTTTTTTATTTCTTCTATTCTAAACGATGATTTGATTAAGAGTTTTTGCCACTTTTAGTCCCTCGACTATTGTGTCAGTGACACTTTTGGTACTCGACTTTTAATTTTTCCACTTTTAGTCCTCGACTATTGTGCGAGAGACACTTTTGGTATCCGTCTTTGAAATTTCCGTATTTAGTCCTTCGACTTTTGTAGAAGTGACACTTTTGGTCCTTCAACTATTGCTATAGAGACATTTTTAGTCCACTTATTGTGTCAAAATCATAGTAGAAGAACTAAAAGTGTCAATTTGATAATACTCAAAGGATTAAATATGGGAAACTTGAAAGTAGAGGACTAAAAGTGTCTCACGAACAATAGTCGAGAACTAAAAATGGAAAAATTAAAAGTCATGTACGAAAAGGATCATTGACACAATACTCGAGGGATCAAAAGTGGCAAAAACTCTTTGATTAATGAAAGCTAGATTTCCCCTTTGCAAAAAAAAATATAGATTTGGGCCCTAAATATAATTAGGCCCGGTGCAGAAACGCTCTTGCACAGCCCAATATTTGGGACTTTATGTTATAAAAAAAGCTCTGCCCTGACTTGATCGTAAATCGATTGAGAAGGTTGAAGACTAGAAGGTCAGAGAATTTCAAAAGGGAGGGAAGAAAAATAAGGAAGGAATGGGTAGTAACCAAACGGTAGCGCAAATCCCGACGAGCTTTGGCCACGAACTGAGGGCTTGCCTCCGTTGCCGTCTCGTCAAAACCTACGACCAGGTTCCCTTTTTGTTATTATGGTTTATGTAGTGGCATTGATGTTCGTTTATACTCGATTATATTATAAAAAATGCGATTACTGGCGACATTGCAGTTCAGAGAATCTGGATGCGAGAATTGTCCCGTCTTTAAGATGGAAGAAGATAGCGAGCGTGTTGTGGAATGCACTACGCCTAATTTCAATGGGTATCAAACTGCACATATGCTGTGAATATTATTTTTTAAATATAACCATTGGCTTAATCTCTCATAGAGTTATACCCTTTTTGCAGTATAATCTCAGTCATGGATCCGAATCGGAGCTGGGCTGCTCGCTGGCTTCGTATAGGTATGCCCCAGTATATTATATTTCAGTTTCAGAACAACACTTTGGAATTTGAAGTATATCAAGGTTAGGGTATACTAAGATTAAATGATTTAGACATAGAGTAAGTTGTAATTTGTTTGCATACCCGAAGTTAAAATTTGGAATTTTTTCAATTCTATTCAGTTCTTTGACTTCTTTCCATTTTTCAATAAAAAATTGGAAGAGATGTTTTGATCAACATATCAGAGTAGGGATTGGGACATCTCCAAAGGATGCACCAAGATAGAGGGGAAAAATAATATTTTGGTGCATCTTTGCTCAAAGGTTAATGGTGTTGTGTGACCGAGAGCCCACTGGTTCTAAAATAGTATTCTGGTGCATTGCTGGGATCGGCGTGTTTAATCTGAATTGCAGTTAAGTTGCGATTCAATCCTATTAGTTGTCGAACATTTAAAAGACTTCTGACGTTTAGGAAACATATGGAAAAAGAATCCTGAGGTGTCAAAACTTGTGGGTAACATGCGGAAAGTTGAACTGAGTCGCTCTGAAAATTAGCGAAATATTCCTGCGCGAATCCCCTGCCCCTGCGATCTTTTCTTTATTGAATGTCTTTTCATCTCTCCATATCTTTTCCAATTCTTCATATGTTATTAGCTACTGCGTCAACCTCCAAGTAAACTTTGGTTGATGTTTTTCATTCTTTGATTAGACGGGGCAGTTGTAGAGTGTTCGGTTCGTTCCTTTAAGGTTTAGAGTTTGTTTCTTTATAATTAATACTCTGTAATATTTATGTTGTTATATTCTACATTTCTACATGACAGATCTGTAGGGATTTTCAATTTATAATATACGAAGTATTAATTTATTACATTGTTTTAATATATCTTCCATTTTTATTAGTTTAATACATTGTTTTACGTCTGTATTTTTTTCCTTTATTACCATGCTGTCAGTTTCCATGTTACTATGATTACTATTATTTATGAACTCTATTCAATATCTAATTATGCATACATACATATACTATAATATATAAAATTAAAAGTAGGATCTTACAATCTCAGTTACGATCCTACAATTTACGATCTTTAGGACTCCTTCCAATCCTACCTAGGATCTGTAGTTAGACTACCATGTTTTTTATGGCTTCTTTGGTGGGGAAGAAGGAAAGTGAGGTGGAGGCAGTTGGTGAAATGGTGGTGTCGGGGGATGAGGAGGGATGGGTTGGGACCAGGTGAGGCTTAAGGGTAGAAAATGGAAGTGATGCTGGATTGGGGGCACGACATAGAGGTGGAACAGTATAGGACATAGAATGGGTCAGAGGCGGGTGCCGTGGCCTTTCTGGCAGGCGGCAGCCCCATGTACAATTTTATTCTCTGTGGTGAAGGTGACATGTCTTTGGCACTGGGAAAAAGTTCCTTCCTTTAGTGACTGATGTGATGTCTTGTGTAGGGGTGGTGGTTTAGGGGCGGTTTTGGGTGAAGTTGCTATTTGTGATAGGTTTCTGCCTGCAAGGGTTTGGGATCATACCCAGTGTGGTACTGATGTGCTTTTGGTTAGTGTTGAATTTATGCTTAGGATGCCTTGGTGCATATTCTTAAGCTTTATAAGTTGTTTAGCGCTTTTGCTCTGTTGTTTGTTTGTTTGTTTGTTTGTTTGTTTGTTTGTTTGTTTGTTTGTTTGTTTGTTTGTTTGTTTGTTTGTTTGTTTGTTTGTTCGTTCGTTCGTTCGTTCGTTCGTTCGTTCGTTCGTTCGTTCGTTCGTTCGTTCGTTCGTTCGTTCGTTCGTTCGTTCGTTCGTTCGTTCGTTCGTTCGTTCGTTCGTTCGTTCGTTCGTTCGTTCGTTCGTTCGTTCGTTCGGTCGGTCGGTCGGTCGGTCGGTCGGTCGGTCGGTCGGTCGGTCGGTCGGTCGGTCGGTCGGTCGGTTTGTTTTGTTTTGTTTTGATGTTTGAATTATGTTGGTTAACTTGGCTAATTAATATTTCATTTCTGATGCATGTTTTGCAATTTGTGCTACCTGTTTTTGGGGAGTTGTTTTCCATCACAAGTGAGCTGCTCGGTTCTGGGTGTTCGTTTGATGTGCTTGACACTGTTTTCATTTGAATAAGGTGTTCTTTGTTAGAAAGATATATTACATTGTCTAATCGTTTTGCTGAGTTTATAAGGGCCAACAACTAATATTTTGCTTAAGAAATTAAGATGTGCAATTATAAGATGGTACTTATGTTTCATTTCTCATTTTGCTTGTACACTATATCTTTTAATATTATTTATGTATTTATTTGTTGTTTATAGTTTCAAGCTAATAGTAAAATATAATGAACTATCATCTGATAAGCAAAGCATTCTATTAAGGGATTGTAAAATTTGAAGATAACATCTATTATTGTTCTTCATGTTTGAATGCAAGTAGATTCAAACTTGATTCGGCTTTACCCTGAGGTTGACAAAGGATATCAAATTTGACTAAAGTCTACAACTGCTTACAATTTTACATGAAATTTATATTTCTTTGCCTGTATATAATATAGAGTGTGGTGAATAAGTCTTTTTACTATTAAAAAGGGAAAACTGTCAAATAGGTCCCCGTACTATTACGGAAAAGTCAATAAAGTCCTCGTACTTAATAATCACCCAATTAAGTACCTCTACTTTTACAAAAAATGTTCAAAACAGAAATTTATCCGCTGATAATCCGATTTTCAGGTAAACGTGATTGTGTGGCATCCCTATGGCTCCTATTTCTCCAATCAGGAGCTTAAGTGGCATCCATGTCATATTTTAGATTCAGTTTTTTTACTCTGTCAAAGCCATATCTTCTCAAGCTCATATATTCATCCCAAGCTCATCCCATATTCTTCAACATGCTGTTCAAGCATTGAGGCTAAAATTAGAAGCCAAAAGGGCTGTCCAGAGGAGAAACATGTCCATGTCCATGGAAGCCATGGGTATCAGGTATGGATCTACTCACAACAATCCCAATTCGTACAAAGTGATGAATACTTAGTCTGATTCTCTATCTTTCTATGATTCTCCGGCGTCCTCTATGTTGAAGCAACAGAAACATAGGAGATGTAGCGACAGAGGCAATATCTTCCAATCACCTTCAAGTTTCAGCTGAAATCCAAGTTTCCATCGCCGTATTAAGGAGTGGAAGAAAAAGAATTAGCCAACCCCCTAGTCGCCCCCGGTCTTCTTCTCCGTTCTTCGTTCACCGGCGACTATGATTCCAGTTCACCGGCAACTTCATCTCCTGGAGGACTGTTCATCTGTGTTCCCTATTAGTCAACGAGTTTGCTCCCTATTTGCCGGCGGCGAGTTCGTCTCTTGTTTTTACTTTTTACCAAAGGAGTTAGTGTGGTAGATGGAAGAAGAAATCAAAGGAGAGAAGGGAGAAGCCTGTTGTCCAAGGAATCTTGGGACTCCATTTACGTTGCTGTTAGGCGTTAGTGTGGTAGATGGAAGAAGAAATCAAAGGAGAGAAGGGAGAAGACAAAAGAAAAGGAAAAATTGGTTACCTGTACACCACATGTGCATAGTGACCGATCAACCATTTGGTTACTTAGTAAATGGAGGTTTTGAACGTTTTTTTAAAGTTGGAGTACCTAATTGAGTGATTACTAAATACGAGGACTTAATTGACTTTTTCAATATAGTATAGGGACTTATTTGATAGTTTTCCCTATTAAAAATGATCATTCGGCCAATTGGCCCATTTTTAAATGCAAACAGGCCAAAGAAGCCCTTCTAATATTTCAAAACCTTTCGCACAAGTGTATGTACTTCATTACTTTATTGAATGACATAGGTCTAGTATTAAAAACGATCATTTCTCCCATATGCCTTGACAGGTAAAGTTATGTGATATTTTTAATGAATCCAAGCCATTTTCTTTTGCCCAAGTGTTGTTTTTCTTTTTCATTTTTTCTTTCCCTTTGTTCTTTTCTCCTCCTTCTATTTCTTCTTTCCCCCTGATTTTCTTTCATTAGCATTTTTCATGTTCCAAGCGGATCCTAATTTTTTGGAATCTGCAGCACGTTTTGTCCCAGGTTGTTACACACTTGCAGTTTCAGAGGCACTTTCTGAAGATTTGCAGGTATATATTTTGTACTCATGCTGGAATTCTGGAAAGAATGCGATCTATTCAGTTCATTCTTGTTTTATATCGCTGGATCTCAGACGTTTTTCTCATATGCTGGTGCAGAATCTATGTCAAGATTCGAATGTGCCCTACGTTCCTCCAAAACGCATTTAAGATATAAATGAATGTTGTCCGGCTAGTACTTACTATCATCTCTTGTAGGAGAGCACACAAGATCAACTAATATATGTATCAAAAGTAGCTACACAAACGTTGAACATGTGCTCTGTCATGCAGTGTTGATTTCCCTCTCCAGTTAATGTCAATGTTATTACTTTTGTGTGCTGTCTACAAGAAATCAGAAATGCTTTGCAAATGTTATTGTTTGTTGGTTGGTTGACTTGGTTCCCCTGCGCTAAACAGAAGGAAAAAGTGGGAAAGAAATCCACAAATAGAGTTCAAACAATATAAACATTTCTTCAAATATAAAGGAGAAAACATGAGAAACTAATAATGAAAATGTTGTGGAAAACATGTTGCTTCAGGCAATTTTAGTTATATAAATTGTTGGGCTTCAGTTTTATTTATTCACATGACTAAGCAATTTATACAATTATACTCGTCTATAAATTTAAAAAATATGAAACTGTTATGAAATGGAAGGAAATAAGAAAAAGATGTGAGGAGAGAATATATTAAGTATCATTTTAATAGAGTTGATGTTAATAGTATGTTTATAATGAAGGAGAAAGCTCTATTTAAGGCTAAGTAAATGACTAACTCGAGATGAGAGTATTAATATTAGCCGCATAATCATTATCTAGAAATTATAATTGTGATTTCTGAATTATCTTGATAATGATAATAATGTCTTTATTAATCAAGAATAGTTGGTAGATGACTAATTCATTATACATCAATAGAATCAAAAATTATTTTGGGATAAGTGATTTAAATAACAACTTGTTGGGAGAGACTCCCATTTGAGGATGGACTCGGTTTTAAAATAGAGTCGGACCGGAACTACAGGTGTAGACCACCACTCAAATTGTGTCCATTGGGCCGCTTTGGATTGGAAGCTTCTCTAAACAAGGGAAGAACTCTAATGAGTGTTAGTAATACCTTGAGTGAAATAAATGTATAAAAAATATTTTCTCTGTTCCGCTAAGATTACCCATCATTCTTTTTCGGTACGTCTCACTAAGATTGTCGCATACTAATTTTGACATAATTTATGCGATTCTAAATCATTCTTACTTTATTCTTACTTTATCAATTCAACTTTAATCACATAAACCCATTTTTTTAACAATTGTTAGTGGGATGGAACTGGAAGTAGTATTTTATAGTTCTTTGTGCATAATACGGATTAAATTTGAGCATTAAAACAACTCTCCTAGGCATTTAGGGTGTAACGAACGGCGCTTGATCCTGGGCGTGTTCGAACTCAAATTAGTGATTAGTCGAACTTGTATGAGCGTAATAATATTGAGTTAGTGTTTGACCTAAGGTTTTATTTAAAGGTAGTATCGTACTATGTATAAATACATAATACTACATCCGTTCTTAAATAAATGTAACAGAAAACTTTTTACGTTTGTCAATGTACAACTTTGACCATTAGTATATTTAATTCTCTATTAGTAAAAAATCAGCAGTGAAGAACCAAGTGAACTTGAATTAATTAAAGTAGTGATAAAAAAAATTATTAACTAATAAGAAACAAACACATTACTGATTTATAACTACATTTTATTATATAAAATAATATATTTTTATTTTTATATATGCAATATTGATGACATATGAAAGATCAATGAATTCTGATAAATTTTTTCGTAAAAATTGGGGTACAAATAAAAAGTTATAACATGTTAAAAGATTTGTTTTCCATTCACTTTCTCCAAATGAGTTGGCGTGATTAATATGAACAACATTTATGCACCAAGTGAAAAGTAGAGATGCACCGGGTGATCTTAGATTAATTAAATGCCTTACTAGTAATGATAATAAATCTTATATTAACCAAAAAGAGACTAACACCTCATTGATATTTAACCCAAATGTATCGTATAAAATAATGTTTTCATTTTTATATATGCAATATTGGTGTCATATGAAAGATAATAGAATGTTATAAATTTTGATGTATTTTCTGTAAAAATTGGAGTACAAATAAATAAATTATACTACGTAATACATTAAAAAAATCTCTCCTTCATTTTCTACAAATGAATAGTGATACATGTGGTGAATATCAATGATGAACCAAGTCAACTTATATGAATTAAATGTTTTAGTAGTAGTGATAATAATTTTTTTATAAATCAATAGAATTTTTAACTCAGTTTTGCTATATAAAATACTACTTTCATTCCATTCAGAAGTTCTCGTCCACTAGTATCCGATCAGAGTTTTTGCCGTTTTTAGTCCTCTGACTATTATGTCACTGACACTTTTAGTACTCGACTTTGAGTTTTTCCACTCTTAGTCCTTCGACTATTGTGCGACAGACACTTTTGGTACCTGTCTTTGAAAATTTCCACATTTAGTCCTTTGACTTTCATAAAAGTGACATTTTTGGTCCTTCAACTATTATAATAGTGACATTTTTAGTCCTCCACATATTGTATGAAATTTATAATGGAAGGACTAAAAGTGTCAATTTTATAATATTCAGAGGACTAAATGTGGAAAATATTGAAGTCAAGGACTAAAAGTGTCTCTCGCACAATAGTCGAAGACTAAAAATGGAAAAATTGAAAGTCGAGTACCAAAAGTGTCACTGACCCAATAGTCGAGGGACTGAAAATGGAAAAAACTCTATCCGATCAACATAAAGTCTTCTTAAACTACTTCCTCTGTCGCTCAATACTTTGCCATGTTTGACCACCACGAGAAATAATAAAGTAAAAACTGTGTGGTTGAGATATGTGCACAGGAGAGAGAAATAACCGTAATCATGAATTCATTGATTAAAAAGGAAAGTGACAAAGTTTTTGGGACATCCAAAAAAAGAAAGATGACAAAGTTATATTACTTTGTATGAAATTTGAGTTTTTCTTTTAGGACTATAAAACTTTTGAGGTAGTCTCTGTATATGTAAATTTTATTTACAAAAAAGAATCTAATTACGGATGAATCAATTAACTTTATAGTCAGCCAAATATCATAAACCGTGTAAGAACCTTTCTACGGGACATATAGAGTAATAGATTTTTATTTTTATATATATGATATTAGTGTCATATGAAAGATTATAAAAAGTTATGAATTTTGATATAGTTTTTGTAAAAAATGGATTATAAATATAAAAGTTATATCACTTTAAAAAGAGAGATTATTTCTCTTTTTTTGATCAAAATCAGTTGTGATGTAGGGAGTATTTTTTTTTAAATAGCCGTGTGATGTAGGGGTTAATTAATTGTTTTAGTTGTTGTGATAATAGAATTTGCATTATCGAATAGGAGACTAACACATCATTAGTTTTTTACTCAACTTTACTATATAAAATTGTATATTTTTTTTAAATGTTTTAATTTATGATTTTTTTCAATCAAATATATATTTTCACATATTAATTTTATGGAGGGTGAGCTTAGCTTTCAATTAAGCTGGAACGTGGATGATATGTGTTGTCGAAACAATTTTGGTCCAACTGAAGAAGGACCCCTTCTCGACTTCTCAAGCTGACTCCATCAACACTATTTCTTCGTACTTAGGGGGTGTTTGGAACTGATTCTGATTCTGCTTCTTTTTTAAAACAGAAGCAGAATCAGAATCAGTTTTCAGAAGCTGATCACCCCCAGTTTCTAAAAAAACTGATTCTAGGAGTAAATTAGAGCACCATAATCGCTTCTTCACTTTTACCCAAACACTCCAACTTCTGCTTCTGCTCTCTGAAGGAGCAGAATCAATTTTAAGAATCAAATCCAAACACCCCTTAATCAGATTGAGATTGACAATCTAGGAATTGAGAAGCGTGTAGAAATAATCAAACATCTCCATAGATGAGTAGAAACTCATCTCAATTACGGAGACTAGACCCAATTACTTCTCTATAATTTCTTCTCTCTCCCAACACCTTTTTCTCCTTTCAAGATTTCAATTTTTTGCTCTCCTACTGAATTTTGGACCTTCGTCTTCTTGAATGGTGACCCATGGTCATCTTTTTCCGGCATATGTTTCTCCGCCCTAGGTTGCTTCCCTCGATCCAAAAAGATGGAATCCGAACCTCCCACCCCGGAGCCCCCACATCCCCGACCCAACAGGGCAAGTAGGAACATTTAAATCACGATGATACAGCCATCAAAGTGGCAGTAGCCCATATACTCGTGCGCGCAAGAGGTACAGCCCATTTCAGAGGCTGTAACCTCCACATGGTTGCTACGGTATTCGAACTTTGGTCCCTTGATTCAAATTTCCCATCACTCAATCAACTGAGTTACCCGTGCGCATGCCTTACGCTGCTTCCCGCGCTGCTCTCAGGTGTTGGGTACGTCGTTGATGAAAAGGTCAAAGGTACAAATCCATTGACTCGCACAACAACAACGACATCCAAACCTTAATATCAAAAGAATTTGGGATTGTCAAATAGAGAGACAGACGATGAATATGATAAAAAGAATAAAATAAAGATAAATAAATATAAGATAATACTCCCTCTGTCCCGAAATTATCTTCATTCTTTCCTTTTCGGTCCGTCCCAAATTTATCTCCTCTTTCCCTTTTTGGTAAAGAATATGTGGTTCACAACCATTCTTACACATTTCTCTCTCCTCTGCACAACTCTCCACCACACAAATCCCACTATCTTAATCCCCGTGCCCAGTCAAAACCGAAATTAATTATGGGACGGAGGGAGTAATAAACAATATAAGTGGAGTTGCTTCCCGTCGCTGCTCTCAGGTGTTAGGTACGTCGTTGATAAAAATAACATAATAATTGTTGGTCCAAAATAGGACGCTCGTAGGCTTTTAGGAAAGCAACGTACGACACTCAAGCAAGAATTAGGAACGTACGAATATGGAAAGTTAGCCAGAAATAGCATGTAGAATTTGCTTCTCTAATGCGAATTACAACTCGCCTTTTATAGGCGTATACAAATCGTAACCGCTACCGATAATAATGACTAATTAATTACAACATTAATGCGGAATTAAATACATAATTAATAGCACATTAATTGCTTGACCGTTACTCTTCCGGGCTGGGAGGTCGGTCGGACTAGCAGACTCCCTGCTGGGCTGGCTGGCAGGCTCCAGGTTGTGGACTTGGATCCACGGGTCCAAGTTCGGGGCTTGGGCTGATTAGGCTCTGGGCCTAGTCCCATTACTCCATCAATAATAATATAAAAGGATAAAGGAGATAAACGATAAAAGAAAAGAGAGATGAAATGTAGAAAAGACATC